TTTTGACATCGTGGTTTTAGCGCCGTGGTGTTGTCGGCGCGCTTTTGACATTCGCGGTTATGTCGTGCCACGTGGCATACTACGGTCCATGGGATCGTAAATAGTTGGTCGTGACTTAGCAATTGAACTCTACTACTTGTGAATGTGCCTGCTTCACAGACATTAACAGTACTGCATGCTACAAGCTTGACAAAGAGTATGCATCCTGACAATAGTAATTCTGGTATATGACAATGTATGGAATATGGATAAAAAGAGATTGGAGCTTTTAAAATTGGAGAGAGTATTCTGGCAGAAATTGCTGGGCCTGGAATGAAAAGAAATGAGGTTTAAGAACATTTTCTAAGCTTCTGATTAAAGTTTGGAATCTCTAAGAAGCTAGAATAGTCTAGATTAATGGAAGCAGAGGGAATAGCTGTTTCAAGAGTCCTCTATTTAAGAATAGGAAAAATATTCAGGCAAGAAATATTAACAGTAACAGTATAATAGAGTTGGAAAGGAGCTTGAAGGACTTAGTCCCATGATGATAAACCTATGGCTCACGTGGCAGAGGTGGCACGCAGCACCCTCTCTGATGGCACGTGAGCCGTCACTCTAGTTCAGCTCCACCGTGCAAGCGCATGCACCTCCTGCCAACCAACTGGTCATTCGGTCTCTGCCATGCATGTGCGCTGGCGGGGCATGTGCAGGGGGCATGTGCGCATGTGTGGAGGGGAGGGGTGCATGCAAGGGGTCACATGTGCTTGTGGGAGTGGGGCATGTTCAGGGGGTCATGCATGCATGTGCGGAGGTGGGGTGCATGCACGGGGTTTTTTTGGCACACTTTGGGCTATCCGACAGGAAAAGGTTAACCATCACTGGCCTAGTTGTATATGTGTTAGGTTTGATTGCTATTCCTTTGTTTTGTGCTATAATGATATTTTACCATTATTTCTATACATACTTGCAAAGTGTGATTTTACCCATTCTTCCACTTGGGTATAAAGATATTAATTTTCTTTATAATAATCTTGTCTATAATACCA